ACGCAGGGTGCAGTTTTATCCCGTTATCTGTTCTCGTTTAACAGCCAAAACTTGCCAGTCACCCCAAATGTTTTCACATTTCAATATGTCGATGATGTAGATATTGGTGGTGCATCTCACAACAACAACCCTTCAACGAACCACTTCAATCAGACATAAGCTCGATTTCTGAATGGTTTAATGATGCTAACCTTTCTTCAAACCCGAACAAATGCATTAAGGTTTTGTTTACCATTAACTGTAGGTCATCAACACCTTCTGGATTATCCGATCCCAACAACTTAATGAATAACTTAAAAGTTGGAAGGTCACCACACTTCAAATATCTTGAATGTTTCCTGTCTGCTGACCTCAAATAGTCCTATCACGTAGAACAAACATTTCTTCAAGTCACAAATTTGACCTTTTATATTTCATCTTTTCGACGACTGAGGGTGCCATTGTACATAATTTCTTAATTCATTTTCTCGTGCGTTTTATGCCATTGGACCTACTACGATTCCGTTAGCTTTTCCGGTCTACTGTCCAAGGATTTCATATTAATTAGACGCTTTCTGATAAGCATCTCTAGATATGGAGCTGTATCTTATGAGGAACTGGTTATTTCCATTGTCAACCAACACCTTAAGGCAGATGAATGCCTGTGTGACTCCATACTTTACATCCTTTACACTCAGCCTTATCTAGCTCCATTTCAAATTCTGTCACCGGTATTGAATTTAAACGTTTTTAAACTCCAATCACAACTCCGTTCTACCTTCCCTTTCACATTTGTGGGTTTCCAAGGGACGAATAATAAACGAATAATAAATAGATTCCAATGTCAGTAATCGCAATGAGGTTTTTCTTCATTTTTACGCATTCTCTGTGTCCTCTTTCTTATCATCTAAGTAACAATTTATCATTTGTCTTCAAACTGACTTTTAATAAAGTCCGGTAGGCGAAAGAAGCTGTTTTTGATAAATTCATCAACGGGACATTACAACTATATACGGTTATTTGGGTTCGTCTATCAGGTTTTGATCGCATCAGGCTAAGTATAGAATGTATGCCAGGATTGTTTACCTGATGTTCATCTCGATCAGTTCGTTGGTGTGTCCCCCGGGGGTGGAGTGGATTTCTTCGTCCGAGGCCAGGGCAAGGCTACAGCCCGAACGAANGGGGGGGGGGGATCCAATGTTTGGATAGCGATCGCCTTGGCTGTGCATAGAATGATACACCGAAGGTGTTTCGGCAGAGATGATGGCGTGTGGTAAATCGTGCGGAAAGCCTGATCAACATTGATAGTGTGCGGTGCCTCCAGTATATGTTGACAGATAGGACTTTTCGCCGTCCTGGTTTCACCGTGTCTCAACCAGCGGGGGTGGTGTTCTCATATATATATATATATATACCCGGTGTTACAAACAAGGTCATGGTGACGAAATTACACGTCCTGGATACAAGTATATGAATGAACTGACAAAAGATTACCGGATACGCATGCCTGACGAGGGGTGGGAACCGCGAAACTGGTCGTGTGCTTCCAGGGTAATTTTTTTCAGTCTTTCGCATGAAATATATATATGGTATATATTTACCATATATCATATATATA